ACATTCCGTGGAGTCAACTGCAGTGATGGTGCAGGGAGACAGTATGGGTATTCAGGAATTAGGCATGATTGTTATCCACTATCTCCCACTGGCCTCTTGTACAACAAGACAGCCGAGTCTCCTTTTTTTACGTATAGGCTAGAGAATGGTGACTATCATCAGGTTTGGTTTGATAATCCTCAGAGTCTAACTGTCAAGTATAGCTATGCTGCAGAAAAGAAACTACGGGGGATTGCCTTCTGGAACACAGATACTCTGGACTACAATAGCAATACTAACAGTTCTAAGGAACAAGTTACGATGATGTGGGATGCTATACAAGCTTTTCTAAATAACTGAATAGAATTGCTTATAATCTGGTTGTTATCATTGTTGGTATGTTACAGAGATATGCTTGTATCTATGTTTGTGTGTTTGGATGTACACTTGTTATAGCTACGTCTATAATATTTTTAATTTTGTTGTTGTGGCTCAATTATAATTTTATTACATTAATTTTTCAAAACTATAATGAACACATGCAAGCATTGCTGTTCCCTCTCATCACACCCATTCATTGTATTAAAGTTAAGCAAGATCTTTTTAGTGCTTCCATCAAAGACGATTTACTAGCATCACTACCATCAAGCCATAACTGGATCATCTCAATTTTGCACCTTCTTTCTTGGCGTTGAAAGTCATTCTCAATCTCTTTGAGGGCTGAAGGCATCAGGCCAAGATGAATACCCAATTCAAACCAATTATTGAAGTTTTTCAAGAAATTAAAAATAATACGAAAGTGTGATGAATCTATGGGAAGCAAAAAATTTGTCACAGTAGATCAGATGCATAATATTGTGCACTGTACCTAGTGGGCCATTTGGTAGATCATCTGGATCGTATGTTATTCCATAAATCTTAATAGGCGGATCTAATAAAATAATGAAAGATATGAGCAACAGAGTATAGATTACCAAGTAAGAGTTGCTCTTCTTCAATATTCAGTTTAATTTCTTCTTCATGCTCTTCTAGTACCTGTGAAAACAAGTTCAGTACTCTTGGTAAAATACAATAGCTATTATTTTATATTACCGTTCGTACAATAGTTCTTTCACAAAACAAGGAATGTTTTTCAATATGCGATTGTACTGTACTGAATGTCTGTTCACAAGCAAAGGCAATATGAGGCTTTAAACTCTGATTAAGTTGCTTCAAAAGATCTGGTTCTATTAACAAGTCAGTGTTGCAGCAAAGAAAAATTTTTAAAAGGATGGTTTGAGGAAGGTTGACTAAGGGTTCGTGAAGTAATATCTTGTCAAGCCGTTTTACTTCACTCCCTGTGGTGTCACTAGAAAGTACACTTTCCTTTTTCAAACAAATAGAACATACAATGTCTTGCATTGCAAACTGATGATGACTCTCAGAATCCCATGAAGCATAAGGCAACTCTAGGAATTCACCTACTTCTAGAGATGAGCAATACTCTTGGTGAAGACAGAAGATTGTCTTTATAATTGAGCTTCTTAGCTTCATCATTGCTTTAATAGACTGTGGAGAGTCTTCATTCCATTTAATTTTGACTCTGACATCTTGCATATCTTCAGACAATTCAACTAAAATTTCCAAATAATCATCTGTCTTCCAATGTATTCCAAATTTCCACATTTGACACCTTCTTGAGATGGCTTGAAGTAAAACGGGAGACGAGCAACTTTTGATACTTTTCAGAGGAAATTTAAGTGCCAGTCTAAGGATGAGCATGTGACAGAACTGAGTGGGGAAGAATCGAGAATAATGAATGCATTCCAAATTCCACACAAAGCCAAACTCATTGTGAGGTGGTAAAGAATGAGGACGACCCGGAGGAACAAAAGAAGGAAAAAACAAGCATCTGTCTGAAATCGATATGCCAGCATTATTGTTGTCAATTACTTGGCACACTTCAAGCGTATGCAATATGTCGGACAGCGTGAGAGGAGAATGTTCTGGAAATGTTGATTTGATCCAGCTTACTGGAACTAGGCCAATATTGCTGATTGAAGTTAGATCATGTTTGGGGCTAAACAGTAACCCATTGACTTCATTCAGGAAATGTTTGATGTTTATTATTACCCAACTATCACAAAGGCT